TCTATGTGGAACAACCTAAGGGATTTATTGATCCAAGTTTTTTTTTCTAATCATGTGTACAGACTGAAGAAAACTCTGTATAGATTAAAGCAAGCTCCAAGAGCTTGGTATGAGAGATTGACAAAATTTCTTGGTGAGAATGGATATAGGAAAGGTGGTATAGACAAAACTCCTTTTGTTAAGGAAGAAGCGGGGAAGATCATGATTGCACAAATTTATATTGATGATATTATGGTTGGTGGGATGTCAAATGATATGGTTCAACATTTTGTCAAGCAAATGCAATCAGAATTTAAGATGAGCCATGTTGGTGAGTTAATTTACCTTCTAAGTCTGAAATTTAAACAAATGGAAGACTCTATATTCTTATCTAGTGGGTTTTTAGTATTGTGTTTTCTCCATAATGAAGTTTTTGATTGTCCATGACAGGAGGAGTCTGTGGACTAATTGGTTTGTTTGGAGCTTGTGATGTTCAAGCGTATAGAGTTATTGCCCTCCTATGAGGATGATGTTGGATAACATGTTGAGACATGTTGCTACAAGATGTAGTTGTTTATGTCCTTATGAGTCTCTGAAGACTCTATCCAGATGTTGCTAGAGTATATCATCCTTCTCCAATAGGATGTGTTGGTTCTGCGAGAATTTATTTTTCTCTACAATAGTGAATGGGATAAAGAAGACTATCCTGTTGGTTGTTAGGAGATGTCACATTTATTTGACATCTTCCAATTCTAACTACTAACTGAGTTTCTTTTACTGCTGCTATGATAATATGGTCAAATAATGTTTTAGCCAAAATTTACCAAAGGGGAAGTTTGTAAGTTTTTGTTTGCAACAATTTTGGTAAAATACTGCTTTGATAATGTTTTGCTTAATGTCTTGACATTTGAAGAAAATCATCTCAACTGATTTTGAATGATGTTAAAGAAGATGTCTTAACATCTGCCTTCTGATCTGAACGTGTTTTTCAGATCTTTTGTTTTTTAAGCGCGCCTTATTCAGGTTTTATGGTTTATAACTTGCGAAAAATATGGAGGAATATTTTTTAATCAGTCTTATCTTTATGGATTATATCTTAGCCTACTTTCATGGATATATTCAAGGGATTCAATATATTGCAATATTTGTTTTTTAGCCCAAGCCCATAAAGAAGCTGTTGCACCTTTATAAGGACTTGCAACCTTATTCGTATATGCAACACTTGAAGAAAAATATATTCCTTGTGTTTAAAAGTTTGAATCTTTTAATACTTGAGTTGTAATTTGTTAGTAAGTTAAGTGTGAAATATGTTATCCTGCATAGAATTGGAGTTGTTAAATGGGTCCCTACCAATCACACCTCAACCATTACAGTAGGTTTGGGAAAATTCATTTATGTTGTTGGAAATAAGAAGATGTTTGATTATGGTGCTTACATTTTTCAGTAGACTGTAAAGCATGCAGGAACTTGTGAAATCAAGATGCCGAGTGCCTTTCCCTCTCTTATTTATGGCATTATTCTCAATCAACTCCCTGGGATTCTTTATGGTACTGATGTGGTGTGCAAAAGGGAGTTTACTCTGTCTCTTCACTTCAAATTGTTTTCAGGCAAACATGTCCCAGACATTGTCTTGACATCTGCATCCTCTGAAAACAAGACCTCAAGCTAGGATGATATGATTTCTTAGTTAATAGATGCTTGTAAAGAACTTGATGAGGTAATCAGAGTTAGCTCTGCGAGGAAGCTGAAATTTGAAAAGATGATCAAGGATCTGAAGAGGGATGACAACCTTGGTGAAAAAGTGGGTACTGAAGGAGGAGATTTTGATAATGAAGGAAGTTCTAAAGCTGCTAGGTCTACTGGTCCTGAAGATAATTAGACATTATACTGGTGTTTCCATTTTGGTTTTCTTTTGTGTTTTGATGTCTTCGTTTATTTTGCCTCTTGAATATGCTTGATACTTGGATATTCTGTTGTGTACTCCTAATTTCTATTGTTCTCTTGAATGCTCACTTGTTTGGAATATTATGTCTTAAAGGGGGAGAATATGACTGGCGAGGTTGAGGGGGAGCTTAATGTCCTAGAAGGTGTTCTAACATCTTCTTTTTGGAGCTGATTTTTTCTGTCATTTTGTGTTGTGTGACACTAATTCTAAGTGAAAGGAATGCACTTGGAGAATTAAGATGAAGGCATTATGGTCATGCCTCTGATCATATGAAAAAGTCTAGGAAACATCTTTGACTAAATTGCTGAAGGTTTGTTTGCTTGAAGTTGAAGACAACGTCTGATAGAATGTCTGAACATTGTTCAGGACATGTTTCTATGAAGACCAACTAAAGAATATTCTAGACTGTGCATTCAGCCTCGTGTAAGAAGAAAGTCTAGAAAGTGTTGTTGACCACAAATGTGTATTTATTAGGACTGGTTCTTTCAGTAGAAACTCTCTAGAGCTATTAAAGGTGTTTAAAGTCAGGTTGGACAGTGCATATTAATTTATGCAGCAGTTTTTCCATCCTCAATTATCGCTTATTTGACCAAGAATTAAAGATTGTTAATTTTTAAGAAACTACTCTGCTATTTATAGAGGCTTTTCATATCCTCTAAATACCAAGTGAGTGTTGTTCTCATCACCACAATGGGTTTTGTTCAGGTCTAGGTAAGTTATACCTGGGTCTGGTTCTGTGAAGGCCTCCTTTGTCAAGTTTTGACCAAAAAGGGGGAGAAAAGTTTTGCTTAGATAGGAGATAGTGTCCAAACATGTAGAATAAATGTTCTATCATGTATTTATTTGGATATGTCCTTTGTGACCTGTGATCTGAGTTATGAACACAGTTGTGATCTGTGTTATGAATTATCAGGGGCGGTGGTTGATTTGGTCTTAAGGAGTTATTAAGAGTTCTCTTATTCCATCATTAGTCTTCTATGTTTAGAACATGTTCCTGGATTTAGGAGGCGTACAAGTTTTCTTCTGTTACTTCTTCCTCATGTGCATCAACCAAACTTCAGGACTTTCTTTCCTTTTATCCTGAAGTTGTTGTTCGTTGGTGTTGATGCAATTGAGTTCTTCAGAGTGCTGCAAAGAAGATGTCGAACAAGATGTTGAGACATTATTTCAATTGAAGATCTATTATTGTGTGCAGTAGCTTCTGAATATTACTGTCGAGGATTATATTTTTGTATTGTCGTAATCTCCTAGATTGCAATTGTTTTTAGATTATTTGTTTTAGCCAAAATTTGTCAAAGGGGAGGATTGTTAGTTCTCTTGTTTTTAGGATCGACTTATTTTTTATAAAACAAATAATAGCAGCAATAATGTAATGTAGAATATGATGTATAAACTTGCTAAGAAGAACAGGTACAACAAGAAGATTACAATGTCAGAACATGTTGTGTTGAACTTTTTCAACAACTGGAACAACATGTCCAAGAAGATGTCTTCGACATCGCGTCTGCTGAGCTGAATTAATGAGATTCAGTTTATTCGTAACAGAGGCAGAATATTCAGGAGAATATTATGCATCTTATGTGGCACATATTTAAAGATCTAGAAAATTCAATCAGAAATCAAGGAGAATAAAGACTTTCAAAATAAGGAGATTATTTAGAAAACTAAAGATTGAAGACCTTTCTTGGGCCAAAAGTTTTTGCAATTTGCTACAGCTGATTTGATGTGATTGAAGGCCCAAAACCAGTTGGGTAACAGGTTATAAATAGAAGGATTTGTAACCTAGAAAAGATATGGCTCAAGATGTAGAAGTCTAGGATTTTGTCAAGGTAAACCTCCTGAGTTGTGGGAAGATTACCATGTTCAACTCGAAACCTGTAGGTAAGAGGTGTATTGTTCTTAGAGGAAGCTTTGAAGCAACTCCAGGATGTGTTCTTAGTTAGGAGCAAAGTTAACAAATAGTGGAGTTTGGCTTGGAGACTTAGCTAGGTTGTCATGGAAGTGTGTCCTCCAAACTGTCTATATGTGTGATCAGAATCTTGGTGAAGGGTCGTCAATGCAGTGACTGAGGTGTTGACTACTAGACATCATTGAGATGATTGAAAGTGGGATGGGAATATTCCATATCTAGGGAGGACCTAGGTAGAAGGGTCATTGGGTAGTGATTAAGTACGTAGATCGTCAACGGATGTGTTGGCTGTAGGGTCTGCAAATTGATACTGCTGATAGTGGACTTCATTCCTGACTTGGTAGCCCCCAGATTAGGTATTGTTGTACACCGAACTGGATAAGCAATTTTGGTGTGTTCTTTATCTTTTCAGTACTGTTTTATCTTGCCTGTGTGTTTGTGTCTGATCAGATGTCTCGATATCCTTATAGAACATCTGAGTCTGCTGTACCAGAATTTCAAAAGTCATTCCAAGTAAAACTTCCCAGAGGTACTTTTACCCCTACAACATAAACTGGTTAAGTTCATTATTAAAAGTCACCATGGATACTTTTTTGTATTGTTCTACTTTAGTGATGAAACAGCAAGCATATATGCTGGTATTTTTCGATGATAAGCAGGAGTCAAACCATTGCTTTTTTTCTTCGTCTCATTCTTTGAAGGGTTGAAAATGATTGTTGGTCCGGCTATTCGCACCTTCGTTTTGGGATAGGGGATGTAATTATGTTGTTGACACTTGTTTTTTATTAGCAAATCATGAGTCTGCATCACACAATTTCATTAACTCTTTCCTCGTGAAAATTACATTTTAGGAACATATATGTATAATCAGATGAATGCACAGTGTTATTTCAAAACCTTTTTAAATTACCAATCATGAATTGAAATGACCAAGTATGTGTTTATTAGAACGTAATCACTTGCCACATATCACATACAAAGTTACACCCGAGTTTGAATACATTTCCAACCATCACAGATAGCATAATGCACAATCATGTGACCTAACAATGGCTTTTTTATTTTCTGTTGGATGTAGCCACAACTTGAAATTATCATAACTTATATGTCTAAGTTGGAGAAAGTTGAACTTAGTAATAATTTCAATTTATAAATTATGAGTCTGCATCACAACTTGCTTTTGGGAACACCAACCGGTTCACTTCTGGATTTCTTTTCTAGTGCACGTGATACTTGCCTCACTGCCTCCTTCGGTATATGACGAGGGCTGCTCAGCCAAAGTCCACCATCAATTATCATAGTGTCGCCATTAATGAATTTTCCTTCACAGATTTAAAGAAATTAAGTTTCCATAGACAAATACTTAAATAAATAAATGAAGAGAATAAAATAATCACTGATCAAATTTTGTGGAAGACTTTAGCCAAAAAAAGGTGTTCAAATCACTTACACTCGAGCAGTCAGAGATACAACTAGTGTAAGAACACCGGATAAAATGATCAGTATCCCTATTATCACATAATTATATCTTGCAAACCTAACATATTTTTAGATTCAGAACCAGATCCCTAACTGCCAGCAAAGCAAAAATCCGTGCATGGCATCTAATAATCCATCAGCTCCCAACCAATCACTACTAATTAATCATGCAAGAAATCTTAACTACATCTCCCTTACTTTGAAGGAAGTTTTGAAAATGTGTTTCGCAGCTTTCAGGTGGTCACCACAAAATACACCGTTAGCAGATGGTTTCTACTGAGCTGTATGGTGAACATAGTTGGGATACTAGTAACCATTAGTTACTAACACGCATCTTAACATTCTTACTAAAATATTTGTGTGGGTAACTACACAAAGTTACTGACCTGCATCTGATACTAGGTAGAGAGCAGCCATTGCAATATCCCATTTCTCCCCAATTTTAAATAGAGGCATTTCTTCTCTGGCTTTGCTACCTAATTCTTCAGGAGCCAGCTTACTCATGCCAGGAGTGCCACTTATTGGACCTGGTGCAATCCCATTGACTCTAATATCATAATCTGTTCCCCATTCCAGTGCCAAGTTTCTTGTTGTGGCATCAACAGCTGCCTGTTGAATAAACAAAATTTAAAGTTTAAACATTAAAGAGTTTAGTGGAAATACATTATCATTGAATATCAATTTTACACTGACATGTAATGAGAAACTACCATTCTTTCATGATATGCCATGAATTTTAAAATACCTTCACAAAAGTAAATTGGTGTGGAGAAATAATATATTTTAATTAGATGTAAGTGTAAAGCAGTTTAAATAGTTAATGTAAACAAAATGAAATTTAACAACTAGGTATTGTGTTTTAAACTAAACCTTTGCTGCAGATACATGAATTTGATACCAAGAAGCTGTATAATGCAAGGTAGCACTAATGTTAATTATTGCTCCACCACTAGAAGAGTCCCGTCCTGGTCCCCCTTTCTTGAGATATTTAAGTGCTTCATGGCACATAGTGAATGTGCCAACAGAATCAATATCCAAAACTGCAAACATCAGTTAAAATTGATCACCAACTCAGTTCTTTTATTCAGTTTTACAATAAAGTTGTGTCTTGTACAGAAAACTTGTAACTTAAAAGTCTAGGAATAACTAGTCATCAGAAATACAGTAACATAGCAATACAATTATGATAGCCACATTATTGAAGGATGCCAATTTCTTGGGGAGGGATCCTCTCCCATGAAAGTATGTTCCAGTGAAATCCAAGCCATTTGTTATTTTCATTTTATCTTAATCAAGTTATTAAAAATAGATTTGAATGGACCAGTTTGACACTTTACTGCCTCCAATGAAAATTTCACTGGAGAGAATCCAAACCTCAATTTCTTTGAGCAATATGACAGGAAAATTTAGTGCAGTGTCTTGTGTCTAAAAGCACATTAACATATGCATAATTTCAATTCATAAATGAGATTTTGACACAAACTTGACAAAAAAATCTTCAACAATCTGAATCATGAACACAGTTGAAATATTTGGTTAATTACCTTGATGGATGGTTAATCAATATAACAAAGTATCACAATTCATTAAACATCAACTCAGTGTAATTTGTTGTGATTTTCGGTAATTCAAGTTGATGTAACCTTTTACATCAGGGGTGTAACAGGTTACCACCCCTTTCCAACAGCAAAATATCAAAACAGTGTGTCTTGTAACTGGTTACAGGAGGTTTGGTGTAACTGGTTACCACCCTCCAGATTTTGATAATTCTGAAGACAGTAGAGTTTGTAACAGGTTACAAGTTTTATGTAACCGGTTACATGGTTGAAAAATCTGCTTTTTCTTTTAGTTGGTTAGCCGAACTTTTGTGTATTATTGTAGATATACCACATGTTAGGTTGATAATGAATAACCACCATTTTCACCCTAATTCTCTCTCCCTCTCTCCATTATTCTCTTGTTCATCATTTTATGTTGTGATTGGGGTTTTGCTCCAACATAATTGACTAGGACTTTCTTGGTGTTCCAATACAGTCATATTCATTAATGATCCAAGTTGAAGTTGTGTTGAGACATATTTGATTTCCAGGTGCTCAATTATGCATGATAAATAGACTTTGACAACGATGTTAGAAAGCGTGGTTGATAATCATCTATTGAACTTAATCAACCATGTAATTGAACATTTTATCTCATTTTAGGTAAAAATAATACAGCGCACTCATGTAGAGAAAAAAAATCCAAAGTAATAGGATCGTGTTAGAAAGGGGAGAGAATTCTGACCGGTTCGAAATCCATTTGGGGAGAGATCCTCAGCCGCAGCAAGGAAATTACCAGCAGCAGCATTAACAAGAATATCGATCTTACCGAAACGCTTGAAAGTGGATTCGAGAACTCTGGCGGCATCTTCTTGCTTCCTTACATCACCTTCAAAAGCAACGGCTGGGATTGAAAGTGATTGGAGAACAGAAACAGCGGATTGAAGAACTTGTTTACGACGACCCATGAGAGCGACGGAAGCACCATGTTTCCCTAATTGTGTTGATATTTCAAACCCGATTCCCGATGCTCCGCCTGTTATGAGCGCTACTTTTCCTTTCAATATGTCGGATTTGAACGGTGACTCCGTTGAAGCCATCTTTGATCTCTTTGCCGTTGCGCTCGATCTTCGACTCAAACGCCAATGTGGCGGCTTTAACACCTCTTGTGTCCTTTTTTTTTCCTCGTTACATGCTTCGTGGGTCCCTCTGCCAACTAATTTAGACTTTTGGGCTAAAAAATTAATTTCAGACTAAAATTGTAATAAACGAATATATTACAACAATAAAGTAAAATGATTCAAATACATTATTACAATTAATTTTATTATATATTTATATCTATAAATATTTTAAAAAATTAAATAAGGAACTATATATATATATATATATATATATATATATATATATATATATATATATATATATATATATATATATATATATATATATATATATATATATATATATATATATATATATATATATATATATATATATATATATATTAAAAAAAACATTAGATAAGGAACTATTTAAAATTAAAATAAAGTAAAATTATTCAAAATATAAAATTAGAATTAATTTTATTATATATTTATATCTATATAGTAAAAAAAACATTAAATAAGGAACTATTTAAAATTAAAATAAAGTAAAATGATTCAAAATAAAAATTAGAATTAATTTTTTTATATGTTATAAATAGATATTTTCTAAAATTTTAAAATTATTTAATCAAGTATTTTCAATGATATGCCGATTATTGAGTAAAAAATATTTGCTCATTATAATTGATTTATTAAAAAAAAAATTTATCAGTGGATAGAATTTAATGTGTAATTATTACTTATCTATTTTTAAGAATGTAATAATTTATAATTGTTATAATATAAGGAGAAAGAAGATAAAAGATAAAAGAAAATATGGGAATAATTTTGTATTATTGCATTGGTGTAATCTTCTACTAAGAGATTAGTTCTATTTATAGGATATTATATATACAATGTAATAAATATAATTTGTTATAAATAAGAAATGAGATTATTGGAAGACAATCATCTAATTATTCATAACATTCCTCCTTAGATGTTTGTTTTGGATATGTCTCGTTAAAATCTTACTAAAAAAATCCAGTGAGAAAAAATCATAGTGAAGGAAAAAGAGTACAATATAATTTTAAAATAAATTTATTTATCCTCTCAGCTAAACGATTATTTCTTCGACGATGAAGATCAATCTTTTGTACTAGTTGATTAAAAGTTCTACTTGGGAGTGACTTTGTGAAAATGTCTGCAAGATTATCATATAAACGAATTTGTTGGGTGTTTATATCACCACTCTTCTGAAGATCACAAGTGAAAAAGAACTTTGGAGAGGTGTGCTTTATTCAGTCTCCTTTAATGTAAGCATCTTTCAATTGAGCGATGCATGCAGTATTATCTTCATATATGGTCGTTATTTATATTTTTGCAAAAGACAAATCATAAGTCTTGTGTATGTTAAATTTGGGATCTCAACCAAACTCATTCTTGACTTGCCTCATGTAGTGTTAAAAATTTCTTCATGATTAGATAAAGTTGTTGTTATTGTTTATTTCACCGATCTCTATGAAATAGTCGTACCACCATATGTAAACAAATAACATGTTTGTGATCTACCATTATGAGAATCTGACAAGTTGATAACACTAAAACACACTGCATAGTTGACTCAGATTGCACATGTTTGTTAGAATTTTTATTGTCATTTTCTTGTGTTATGCTTGTTTTTGTTTTGTTTTCAGGTACTTTGATTATCTAGAGCCCCTCTTGAAGAAATGAAGAAAAACGAGCAAGAAATCAAGTTTTTGAGAAAATTGTACACATGGCATCCAGCATGGCGTCCGCCATAGGATTGGCCATACATGGATTAGTTTCAACTGCCACGTTCTCCTCAACTTCTCACCCTTGTACACATGGTGGGCGCCATAGGGGGCATGGCGGGCGTCACCCTTGTTAAATGGTGTCCCGCCCAAAAGGAGTTGGGGGGCACCTTGGTAATTCCATGGAGTATTGTTCTTCTATAAATAGGAGGTTTTAGTTTCATTTTCTTTTCATCCAAACTTAGTTACAAACTTAAGCCATATATTGTCAGATTTTGTAAGTGATAATCGCTTTACATCGAAGAGTTATCACACCATTGATAGAGTCTGTAATCGACTTTTGAGCACTTTGGTAAAAGTTAATCCTGCCATCATTTTCATTTCCAATCGCATTTATTTCCAGTTATACCTGATTTAAAGCCTTCAATTTGGCGCATATTTTTATTTACAAGTCTCGCTTTACTTTGTTTATTTCATCGCACTCGCTTTACTTTGTTTATTTCATTGCACTCGCTTTACTTTATTTATTTCATTGCACTCGCTGTAGAAATACTTAAGGGTTATTTTGGTTTTTAACACAAGTTTTCTACACTTTATTTTTGTTGGGTAAGATCGAAAGTCGTCCAACCTTCAGTTAAACTTGGATAGTCTTAGTTGTTCAAAGGAAGCAAAAGCGCTTTGTTCAATTAAGTAGGAATCTTTTAACACTTTTAGAAAAACGATTTCAAAACTCTTTTCGGATGCGTTTATGAGTTTAAAGGCCTACTCCTCTTTTGGTTAGAAGTTCCAAGTCAAAATTACTTTTCAACTAAGTCAAGAAACTATGTTTCTTAAAAATAGATTTATTACTTTAACGCAATGCGCACCTTTTTATAAGTGACAATAAGAGGGATCGATTAAAGAATAAAATCGATTATGAATACGCAAAAGCGACAGCGCCTGTTAAATTAGTTCTTTTCATGAGTAGAAAATATTGCCCTATAAGTAGTTCTATTTAGAAGCATTTGGAATATTATCAGATTGTGTGAATTACATTCAATCCTGTTGTTTTTATCTGAATTTATATCTTTGTACTTTACTTTTATTGTGTACTCATAAACCCCTGAATTGTTTTACCTTAGATAAACATTGTAATAACAGAAATCGATAGATTGACGTTTGGTCTCTGTGGGATCGATAATATTTTATATTACTCTGACGCATTTCATATACTTGCGAAAATACTGCATCGAGTTTTTGGCACCGTTGTCGGGGAACAATTACGTCAAATTTCGTACCCTGTTGTTACACCTTCTAGACTAAGGCTTTATTAAGCAGGTAAATGCGAAGAACTCGCAGCACCAGAAGTTTATTAGATCCTTTAGCAAAACCCGAATGTTATGCCCGCACACTCTCTTACTCCAAAGAGTTAGGAAAGTTATGGCTGAAGAACGTAACCAAAGACCCCTTAAGGAATTCGCCCAACCCTCTGATGACGAACCCATTTCTAGTATATTTACCCCTGTTATTCCTGCTAACAATTTCGAACTGAAACCCTCTCTATTACAATTAGTACAACAAAACCAATTCGTGGGTCTCGCTACAAAGAACCCAAATCAGCATTTAAATGTCTTTATCGAATTAGTTGACACCTTTAAAACCAATGGAGCTACACCTGAGGTAATTTGTTTAAGACTATTCTCTTTCTCCCTCAGAGATAAAGCACGTTCTTGGTTAGATTCCCTTCCAGCCAATTCCATAACAACCTGGGAAGACCTTAGGAGAGTGTTCCTTGTCAGATATTTCCCCCCGAGTAAGACTGTTGTCCTTCGAAATCAGATCAGCAGATTTACTCAAAACCAAGGAGAATCACTTTTTGAAGCTTGGGAAAGATATAAAGACCTATTAAGAGCTTGTGCACACCATGACCTAGAATAATAGTTAATCATTCATACCTTCTATAATGGACACATTTATAACACTAAGATGACCATCAACACTGGCGGTGCATTGATGAACAAACCCTACCTGTTGTACTCCAAAATTTGCCCTCTTTTCATACACGCATATTATTGGTTTTATGTTTATGGAATAAAGGTATATTTATCAAGCTTCTTCAGGTTACAAGTGACGTTTATTTCGTCAATGGATATTCTCAGAGTATTTTCCGTGCTGAAGATCGGTTCGCTGTTTTGCAACGATTCGGGGTTCAAAGATTCACAAGTCCAACCCGGCACATCATATTCAAGTGTTCTTTCGCCAAGATATCTCTGATAACATATTCTCAAATTCAGGTTCGACTCAAGAGTCAATTCTTTAAATAAGTTACCCGAATGTGTGAGTTTTCTCGAAGAAATATGGTGAAAAAAGTGTGCTGAAAGTGTAGTTTTTATGCGCTAAAAAATTCATAACTTGAAGATTGTGACTTATTTTGAACTCGTTCTTGTGGCCAAAATTCCGTCTTGACATTATCTACGTTTTCATCTCTCACGGCTGGAAGCCAATTTCGATCAGAAGGTCTTCAAAAATGTGGATTTATCAAGTATTTTTGTACAAAAAATTTGTGACAGAAGTTTATTTGCGTCATGTTCAGAAAATCATAACTTGGTCGATTTTTATCGTATCGAGCTGGTTCCGGCGCCAAAATTTCATAAATTGAGTTGGCTAAGTTTTCACAGAAGGTATTGAGTTCAAACGATATACAAAAGGTCTTTGTTTTTTGCTCAGAGTACGCGTGACGCGCCGAAAATCCTGAATGCTGAATATTATTTTATCTGAGTCGAAACTTCGAAAATTCATAACTCGGTCAATTTTTATCGGATTGGGCTCATATTTTTACACAAGGTCACTGACTCAGATATCTACAACTTTGCTTCAAAAGTTGAGACCGAATTATGCTCCGATCAATACCAGTTTTTTATTGAATAACGTGTCAGAGTCGACACTGGAGCCCAAAATAAGTTTGTCTGAGCTGAAACTTCAAAAATTCATAACTAATTCACCTTTTATCCGATTGAGCCGATTTTCGGACAGGAGTTAGTTATCGATGTCGGCTACATTTTGTTTTCACATTTTAACTTCAAAAATTGCACTTAAGCCCCTTCAATTTAGCCTGCAACGTGACGAACTTAAGTGAACATTGGAGGCCAAATTGCACATTCAAAGCCTATTTTTGCTGTCTAATTTCTATTATATAATCCCATTCTTTTCATACAAACAGAGGAGAGGAAAAAAAAACTTTGCCACAACGCTGCCAGA